ACAGGACTATGTGTGTACGTTGTGTGTGTAATGCCCCACCTTTGTGTCGCCTGTGTGTAGTGTGTAGTGTGTAGTATGTAACTCCCCGCCTCTGTGTGTCACAGTGTGTAGTGTGTAGTCAGTGTGTAGTGTGTAGTGTGTCGCCAGTGTGCAGCGTGTAGTGTGTAAGGTGTAGTGTGTCGTCAGTGTGTCGTTTGTAGTGTGTAGTGTGTCGCCAGTGTGTAGTGTGTCGTGTGTAGTGTGTAATATATAGTGTATAGTGTGTAACGCCCCACCTCTGTGTCGCCAGTGTGTGTCAGTGTGTAGTGTGTAACGCCCCATCTGTGTGTGTGTCACAGTGGACTGCCCGGCAGGCAAGGAGAACCGTGACGGGGAAGACTTCTGCTCCCCCTGTCACATCGGCTACTACAAGGACACTGAGGGGTCCACTCTCTGTGAACCGTGCGCCATCTTTGACTCGAACCAGATCCTCATCTCGCCACAGGAGGGCGCCACGAGCGTCACCCAATGCAATAAGTGTAAGATCTGGTTTATCAGGGGCTGCCCTACTGTGGTTTGCTCCTTCTTTCCTATCAAACATCTATCTTCCTTACCTCTCCTCCTTCTTTCCTATCAAACATCTATCTTCCTTACCTCTCCTCCTTCTTGCAAATCACTCATCTATCTTCCTTACCTCTCCTCCTTCTTGCAAATCACTCATCTATCTTCCTTATCTCTCCTCCTTCTTGCAAATCACTCATCTATCTTCCTTATCTCTCCTCCTTCTTGCAAATCAGGCATCTATTGTTGGGTGGTTGGCAGGTGCTCTGGTGTGGTTTGCTTCTTCTTTCCTATCAAACAACTCTCGTCCTTATCTCCCCTCTCTTTTGTGTTAGTTATTCTCTTGTAACACCTTTAACCGTCGGCACTTATATGACCTTATTGTGTTGCAAGTGCCGTAAAACTCTTACTAAAACTAAAGTGACCATCTGTCTGTCTGTCTGACCATCTAACCGTCTGTCTGTCTGTCTATCTGTGTGACAGTCTGTCTGTCTGACCGTCCGTCTGTCTGTCTGTCTGTCTGTCTGTCTGACCGTCTGTCTGTCTGTCTGTGTGTCGCACCATCTGTCTGTCTGTGTGTCTGTCTGTCTGACCATCTAACCGTCCGTCTGTCCGTCTGTCTGAGTGTCATTCTGTCTGTCTGACCGTCTGTCTGTCTGTCTGTCCGTCCGAGCGTCTGTCTGACTGTCTGTGTGTCTGACCGTCTACCTGTCTGTCTGTGTGTCTGACCGTCTGTCTGTCTGTCTGTCCGTCTGAGCGTCTGTATGTCTGTCTCTGTGTCTGTCTCACCGTCTATCTGTCTGTGTGTCTGACCATCTGTCTGTCTGTGTGTCCCCCCACAGTGGTCTGTCTCCCCGGCTACCACCCACAAGCGGCCCGCTGCGAGCCCTGTGACTATGGCTTCTATCAGCCGGACCGCTGGCAGGACGCCTGTATACAGTGCCCGAACGGAACCACCACATACCAGAAGGCAGCGGATGCCGCGGATTTTTGCATCAGTAAGTGCATTCAAGTCCATCATCATGATCATCATCATGATCATCATCATCATCATCATCATCATCATGATCCGTTCATCATAATCATCATCATCATCATTGTCGTCATCATCAACATCTTCATCATCATCATCATCATCGTTATCATCATCATCATCATCATCATCATCATCATCATCATCATCATCATCATTATCATCCGTTCATCATCATCATCATCTCTAGAGACTATACTTTTACATAAGACAGGCTACACAGAATATACTTTTACATATGACAGGGTATACAGAATATACATTCTACATAAGACAGGCTACACAGAATATACTTTTACATAAGACAGGCTATACAGAATATACTTTTACATAAAACAGGCTACACAGAATATACTTTTACATACGACAGGGTATGCAAAGTATACTTTTACATAAGACAGGCTACACAGACTATTCTTTTACATAAGACAGGCTAAAAATACAGACTATACTTTTACATAAGACAGGCTATACAGAATATACTTTTAGATAAGACAGGCTACACACACAGACTATACTTTTACATAAGACAGGCTACACAGAATATACTTTTACATACGACAGGGTATGCAAAGTATACTTTTACATAAGACAGGCTACACAGACTATTCTTTTACATAAGACAGGCTAAAAATACAGACTATACTTTTACATAAGACAGGCTATACAGAATATACTTTTAGATAAGACAGGCTACACAGAATATACTTTTAGATAAGACAGGCTACACAGAATATACTTTTACATAAGACAGGCTACACAGAATATACTTTTACATAAGACAGGCTATACAGAATATACTTTTACATAAAACAGGCTACACAGAATATACTTTTACATACGACAGGGTATGCAAAGTATACTTTTACATAAGACAGGCTACATTGACTATTCTTTTACATAAGACAGACTATACTTTTACATAAGACAGGCTATACAGAATATACTTTTAGATAAGAC